GGCTGAGCAAGCTGGCTCTCTCTCTCTCTCTCTCTCTCTCTCGCTCTCTCTCTCTCTCTCTCTCTCTCTCTCTCTCTCTCTCTCTCCCCCTCCCTCTCTCGTTCCTGTTATGAGGAAGGGGACAGGGGTTCAATAGTTAGCGGTGGGCACGCCTATCGCGAAGATGGTCTTGGAACCCATACCCTCCCCTACACTTACACCTATTATTATCCATGCCAGGTTGATAGAATTTACTGGTTTTTGGGTGATTCAGAGCTTGGGGGCAGTAGATGCCCTGCGTCGGCTGGCATTTCATCCTCGGCTACCTCTACGAAGATGTGCGCCAGACAAGTTTAAGTGGTCTCATGTGTTGGTTATATCCTTTATTGGCGGCAGTTGCTTCCCGACCCAAGCCCTGCATCACCCAAAACCCCATAAATTCTGTCAACCTGGGCACGCCCATTGGAAAGATGGGCTTTAGAAGCCTCTATTTGATTAGGCTTATGGATAGTAGGCGTAAAGTGTATATAGGGGGGGTATGGGTTTCAAGACCATCTTCGCGATAGGCGTGCCCACCGCTAGCTTAAATAGGGGGGAGACGGGAGAGACAAGTTGCGCAATGACGGAACAATGTGACGGCTTTTGGACGGAACCGAGGCCGCAGGTCTTCCACTGCAGCGTTTTCGCCCAGCTCTCTGGACGTTTCGGCCCCACAGCCCTGGCGGTGCGCGCCCTGGAGAGTCAAGCAGAACTAGCTCAGCTCGACTGGCATGGCGCGCGGATGATTTAGCCTCACGGGAAGGAGGAGACAGAGAAGCTTCAAAGAAACGCAGCAGTATGCAGCAGTGCACTGCGTCATGGAGTCAGGATCCAGTCAGGCATTCTGGGACCAGCAGGGTCAACGGACACAAGGGCGCTGACGCGTGCCGGCTCAGGGAAAGCATGCTCATGCCCGGAGGGCAGGGAGGAGTGATGAGGGATGAGGTATCGTAGATCTTTGCTCTAGTTCCAGTACTTGTGCAGGGCTCGCATGTGCAGGTCAGTGCCGCAGGTGACGTTTACGTTGCCCACTTTGACTTTGCTGACAACGCGGAGACGGGTCGCGTGGTGTCCTGGCCAGAAGGGTTGTGCAATAACCCCGCACCTCATTTTCCGTGTAGCAATAGTTGGCCTGGTGTGGAAGACCATGACAAGAACAGACCGACGTCGTGAATTGTCACCGGTGGTCTCTCATGATAAAACCTAGGCTCTATGTGACTCGTGTCAGAAGGGTCCCAACATCTTCACCACTTCAGTCTGCCTCATTGGGAGCTCCGAGGTTTGCTCGTTGGAGCTTTTGGAGAGTGTCAAGGATGACGTTAGACGTTCGGTAAGAAATGGGCTTTTTCCGTTTCCATACGAGTCTGCAGTAGGCTCGTTAGTAATGTCCATGTCCTACAAAACGCCTGCACGAGTGCTACTCCTGCCCTTGTGCTGTATGGTAGGTCTGCTCTGCTCCACGTCGGCTACATCCTTGATCCTACAACAGCTGCTCCATGCCCTTCTCTCTTGCCCACATCTCTTGTACTTTCGAAGTGAATGCCGAAATGGCTTCTGGGCAAGATTCAGCTGCTCGAATGGGCCCCCTGGGATGGAGTGGGTCTGGTTTTTCTTCGAAGGTGCTAGGTCTATTCTTCGGGGTTATCGTTGCCCGGCTACTGCGTGCGTTCGCCTTGTGGATTTTCGGCCGACCCTTCCCAAGGTCTGGCACTGCTTCAAACCCTAATCCCGAACCGTCTCCTTCCCAGCCTGGAGTTGGCTCGACGCCCACCCCTAGCTTCGGCTCTGCTTCTCCTAGCCCTAATCTGGACTTGCTCCCGCCCCTTACCCTTGTGAACTCCCCTGAGTTCACCTGGTAGCTCGTGACCTCTGAAGAACGAAGAGGTCCTCCAACTGTGAATCCAAGATCAAAGGTAGAAAGAGGCTGCCCTGCAGCAAACAAGTCCCCAACGTCCCACGCCGTTGTCCAGCTCTCCGGCTCAGGCTTCAAAGGTCCATGCAGCACCCAGTGCTGAACTCTACCCGCCCACCTTCGACCCTTGGGCCTGAAAGGATAGGCGGTGCACGCACATGGCCACTGGCTCCTGTAGCGGCTCGGGATTTTCACACTAAGCCTATTGTATTGGCCAAGCTCGTCCAACTGACGGAAAGCGACTCGGTACTGCGCTCAATGATGTTCAACTGAGAGGAGTCTCAAAAGTAGACTCGATCCTTCATCGTCCCATGTGCAAAGCTTTAGGGGAGTCTTAGGGAGGCCTCTGGCTTAGGGTCAGGTGGCAGAAGTCGGCTGCTGAAGCCACTCAATGGCTTTACGACGTTGTGCATCTCGCGCCAGGGATTCTGAAGTGTCAAACAAGCGAAAACGGCCTTGCGCAAGCATGGCTCGAAGCAAGGAGGGATCCACATTTTTAGTCAAGCTATCGGCTACCTGTAACGTGGTGGGTGTCCACCGAAACTGAGCATTCTCAGCGCAGCGTTGCTTGATCAAAAGCACTTCCCAGGTCGTGCGATGTTCCTCGCATGATGGCGTGGCCAATCTGGTTACTAGGTCAAAGAGCGATTTGCAGTCCGCAACCACAGTGGCGGTGTTCAGGAGCTTATAGCCTTTCTCAGGTTGTCGTCAATCAAACTGAGGAACATGGACTACATGGACTACTCCCCACAAAGCACGGAGCCATCCCAAGAGATCTACGGCCTTGGACATCGCGTAGGAAAGGGCTGATCGGACTAAGCGTGGTATTTTCTTAGAAATATGGGCACCTCTTGATTCTTACTGAGTCGGTCATCAGTGGCACACACAAGGACTCCCTGATGGGAATTAAGGTTCTTTGATGAGGCAAAGACGCGTCTCCAACAGAGACGAACGTGAGCTGATCCGCAGGTATGGACAAGTAGTGCACACAGACCTGATCGAACTGCTGGGCCTCCCGTAACACGCGATTTGCTGTTAGCAGGGTTTGCACAGTTGCTGTTATGATCTGGCTTTGGATTTCCTTTTACTTAGCTGCTATGTCAGGTCTCGTATGGGTGACAGCGTACTGAACGCTTCCAACCAATCCACGCAACTTGGAACGTTCCTCGTCAGTGGCCAGGGATTCCGGGTTCTGTCTTCGATTACGGCCGACGTCGATTGGCAGGATTTGACGAAGGTATTCTCCCTGAGAGGCACGAATCGTGAGATCGGGCATCTGCTCAAGTCGAATGCCGGTGAACACGAAGTTTCGGAACTTTCGACTGCCAAATGGCTACGTTTTCTGCAAGGTCTGGATTTTCTTTTTAAGAAGCTAGCATCCCCTCCACATACCCCGTCATCAACATGAATCCCCAAAATGTCACTTAGCTTATGCAGTCCTTGTCTTGGTCAAGATCGATGACCCGTGGCAGGCACGCCAAACACCAGGCTGCAAAGCTAGGTCGCCGTAACTTTCCTTGCCGGGCTCCCGAAGTCTGCGAAACTTTGGCCTTCTGCCAACCAGACCTTGCGGCGACGTTTGGACACTATCCTCGACCGGTTGGGGATCCCTAAAAAAGGCGAGCTTGCCCGCTCGCTTGAGTTAGGATCTCTGTGCCCTGGAGGGCGACCTATCCCGAAGATTCTGAATTGGTGAGAAGGCGGGGCCGTTGGGCCAGCCACAAGATCATGGAAACTTATCTCCAGGAGGTTGGGGCTTCAACTTACAACGCCGATCTGCTGGCCCCTGCCTGGCTCAACGGAATCCTGGCATGCTGGTGCAGGCTCTGAGATGGGCTCGTGACAATGTACCCAGCCGTTGCTGGTTTTACCTTTGGCCAAAGGCTCAACCGTGGTGGAAGAAAACGAAGGTGCGAACTTCTGTACTTTAGAAGTGAGTGCCGAAATGTTTTCTGGGCAAGATTCAGCTGCTCCCACCCGCCTGCCCATGGCGACGATGTTTTTTCCGTCCCGCTGCGGTGCTGCTCCAGCGATCTCAGAGTTCACGCGGGGGAAGAAAAACGAACGCGAACTTCTGACTTCGACCCGACGGTGAATATGCAGTAGGTCACTTGTACTAGAGCTATTCACATCAAAATCAGTGATACGTGGTTTGATCGGTAAAACGATGACAAAAAACTGACCCAGCTAGGGATATGGGAGGTCATGCAGGGTTATTCACAAAGTCTGTTGGGGTCTCAACACTGACAGCAATGAGCAACAGGTTGTCCTGAGTCCGGAAGGGGAGGTGAAAGCCTCAGATGTGCTCGTATGATGCCATTAGATGCAACTCTGTGAAGCTCCAGGTCACTGCCGCAATAAGCGTACCAGGGCCCGAGATTACGGGACTTTGCATCTCTCCTGATCAGAGGCGGGTCTTGACGAGAGAAGCTGCACGGTTCCATCCGAGTCTTGTCGCAAGCAGGCACCTCGTTGTTACGGAGCGATCAACGACTTCTCTGTACAGAACGCCGTTGCCAGCGTGAGAATGCTATCACGTCGGCGTTTCGGATTTGAGTCAGAAAGTTTCACCAACCAGTCAAGCTGAACCATTTCACCGTGTGCAGGGGCACCCATGCAGAACAAAGACATGGACAAAGACACAGTACATTAACGACACCGCATCGGACGGTGTGCGATGTGCCCGTGGAAATTCAGAGCCGCTGCTGGCAAAAGGCCAAGCTTGGAGAAAGATTGCAGTTTGTTAGAGTGGGCAATTGCATAGGTCTCAGATTTCTTATCCGACTAACAATGCCTGCACCACATTAAATTCTCCTACATCTGGGGAAATTGACACCGGTCAAAGCTCGAACGGTGAAGCGACACAAGGCAATGATATGGAAAACCGGAGCACCATTTGACAGAATGCAGAATCCCGCACACGTGAACAGATCGCTTCTTGAACCAGTAACAAATCGCAGGCATCGGTGAAGATGACTCGAAGCGCTCTGACATAGACTAGAAAATTCAAGATAGTGGGTGCGAGGGCTTGGTTGCCTCTTTGGATGGATGTGCAGTGCTGGCCTTTGAAATGGGTGCGCCCTGTTGAATTTGCTGAGACCCGCCTGCGAAGACCCCTTCTGCCAATTTCTGTGGAGGTACCGGCAATGAGGAGGCTGGCTGATCTCAGCGATGTGTCGGGGAAGCAGCCCCACCGACCACTCTTCTGTACAGGTGCGCAAGGCGCAATCCGCCTTGCGGCAGATCCTCATGGCAGCTTCTGGCATGTTGCCTTGCAACATCCTGCAACCATTAGCTCACGAGTCAGGGTCGGAGTCGTAGTGTCGCGGTGAAACGTTGGCACTTGCAGCCTTTTTCGGCTTCAGCTGGGCCGGGCGCACGCTTTTTCCAAGATGTACAGCCTCGAGCGGTTGGGAATTCAACCAAGGCCCGTCCAGACGTAAGGCTCTTTCCAAGCTGGACGTCTCCCAGTGCCCTGTCAAGGCCTCTCGACGTGGAAGGCGGATTGCATCTGGGCCCCCCTCCCGGTCTGGAGAAGGCCGAAGCGGCGACCAGAAGTGCGCTGCACATGCTGCGCATGGTCCGATGTCGAGGTAAGCAGCCTGCTGGAGTCGAAGGTCGAAGAGGTCGAAGGGCTTCTTCAGGGCAATGAGGACGGGATGGAATCTGCCAGTACCCGAAGCAGCACGGAGGCCGGGCCGGGCCGGGCCCACTGTGCCATGAGAGCCGCGAATCGCTCTTGTACGATGTCGTTTTCCCAGATCTCCATGCCCGCATCTCCGTCCTCGCAGTCTCCGTGCGTGCTTGAGTTACAGGCTATGCTGGAGGACGAGCGCTCAACGTCATAAACAAACGGATCGTGAGATTTCCCTCACTGCAAGGACCCGGTTCCTTTTCCTTCGATTGGGTCTGCCAAGCTTTGGGCTCAAGTGCTAAGTGCTGTAGAATTCAATCCTGTCAAGATGGATTGGCTTTTGTTCGTACTGACGAGGCACTACATAGGTCTATGCAAGCCTTGTGACTTCAGCTGCCGTTCTTCCTGCCGCTTCGGATATGAGTTCCTTAGATGGCATTTTCATGATGCTAAAGCACCATCCTTTCAAGACGCCGAGACTGCTTCTGCCAGTTGAGGTGTGCCTTTTGTCATATCTGTGGCCCAACGCAAAGCCGCCAGTGGAAGAAGCAGAAGAAGAGCTTCTGGAAGAAGGCCATCCGAGTGGCTTGCGAAACTGCTCCGACACGTTTCGTCGAGGTCCGTGCGGCCGAAGCCTCCCGCCTGGAAACCACGAGGCGGCTTGGGACTTGCCTTGGGACTTGGGAGAAAGCGCTGACTTCCCTTTTTTTGGGCCCGGCCAAGGGTTGTAGACAGGTCGAGCAAAGCGTCTTCAAAGCAGACGGCTGGAGTCAGCTGCCCAACAATGCAGTGCCTTTGAAAGAGGGATGTGACCCAGCCCTCTTGAGGTGACGCTGAGCTTGCAAGCTGCACTCGAATTCAATTGAGCTTTCAGGCACACAGGTGTCTTCGCGATCTGCTTGGCAGGCTGCGGTCATAAGGACAAGTGACCAGATTCGACTGGCAAAGAGCCCTCCCGCCGTCGCCTCTCCCGCACTAGTGGTCGGCGACTGCCAAGCTACCAAGCAGAGCCACCTACACCTGATCTGGGCCATCGGCCTTCTTTTACTGCAAGGGGATGGGTGGATCCCTCCGCAGGCTCAATCAGGAGCTCTCAATTCTCAGTCCCTTGATTTGTTTCAATTCGCCTAGGCCTAGAGAGTTCCGCCCGAGTGCGGCAGCAAAGCGCGGCACGGTGACGGCCATCTCTCTTTCTGCCCTAGAGCCTTGCATGCCTAGCTGCACAGGGGAAGCCCGGCTTCTGCTCCAGAGCACTAACTCTTGGGGCCCAACAGGCTTATGCGGTTGCACTGCTGTGCCAGGTGCACCAGCAAGATGCCCGTAGTCTGTGCCAAACCGAATTCATGGACTAATCGAATGGTTCTGAAGTTCTGACAATTCGAGAGCGAGTCTCCGCAGATCGGCGTCGGGAATGCACCCCGTTTCGTTGCCACTGTTGCCGACGAGAGAGCATCGCCACCGCTGACAGTTGCGTTTTAGAGATGAAGCAGACACACAGTGTTCACGAGCGCTTCGAACTTGCGCGCACGAAGCCACGCAAAGACGCCGAAAGCAATGCAGCACAGCGCTGTCGTCTCCGACTCCTCACCACATTGAAGCGCGTGCCAGGCAATCCATGTGACCGACGTCCTCCCGGAGCGCGTGCGCATGCTGGCGCCAGCCTCAGAAAGCTCCGCGGAGCCACGGGATAGCCACACGAGCTTGTCTCCTGGGCCCGGTTTGTGTGCGTTCTGATTCTGCTGCTCTGCTCTGTTTTGTGTTATTCACTTTCATCTTTTTATCTCTTTCTCCCGAGAGGCCGTGGATGTGAAGCTGCCCCTTCAGAGCGTGCTGGCCGCCGTCCTCAGCCGAGGGCCCAGACGGGCCCAGACGCGGACAGGTCCAAGAAGCTTCGACAAAAAGAGAGCCATGAGCCTTGAAAGGCGAGCAGCACCCGGCGCCCTCACTCCGACCGAAGAGGTCTCGAGGTGCGCTTTGCTTGCGCGATGAAGGCTGAACCCGCCGTCCGAGCCCCGAGGCGGAGTGTTGCAAGAGGGTGGAAACGTCGGTGGCCGGAGACAAAGCACAAAGCGGCCGTTTAAACAGCCTCTGCAAAATGCGCTGAGAGCAATTCTGCTCTCAGCGCACAGCTCAGGTCCTGGTGACATGCTCCGGCGCGAGGCCGGGCCCACTCATTGATTGCTCCGGCGGCTTTTTTTTACACTGCGTGGCGGATTCTCGCGAGAATTCACAGGGCCGGGAGAGCCTCTTGGAGGAGGCAGAGGAGGGAGCGCCGTTGTGCACCGGTGTGGTCCCTCGCTCAGCCGATCAGCTGGCCTAGCTTGGCGCCAGTTCTCGCCAGTGCCTCGACTAGTCCAGGTGTCTGCGGCATTCCCTACCGATGTGTTGGCAGAGGCGGCAGCTCATGTACTCGAGCCTGAGCACTTCGTGGTTATTTCACTTGTAGAACAGCCTAGCAAATTTGTGTGCTGTCTTCCAGCATCTCGTTTTGGCGCAGGTCTGCGAGATTGATGCTGCCGGGCCAGAGGACACGCGCGGCGCCGAGTGAAACACAGGGGGAGGGGGTGCCTTTTGAGTCTTCTGTCTCAGGTGTGTAAGCAGGCGGTGTCTGTTGCGAGGTCCGCGCCGGAGGAAGGCGATGAAGCTACGCCGGCTGTAAGAAGGCTGGGCCAGGGTTGTGCCGGAAGCGGAGAAGCACTCGCCGTGGGAGCTCTGCAGATGGACCTCGCCGGATGATGGGTGGGGGACGCATCTGATCCCATCGGTGGGGTGCTCAGAGCTAGGAGGAGGCAAAGCTTGGACTCTTGGAGTCAGAGCTTTCCCCCGTTCAGGACTTGGAGAAGATGCCCATGGGAATGCCTGTAACAGCCCGGTCCCTGATGACTCACGCCCATGCACCCTGCCTCGAGTCTCGAGTGTGTCTTGTCAGGTAGGGGAGCTTGCGGACTTCCTCTCCCTGGCCTGCTCACCGAAGGCTCAGGCGGGAAGTGGGGGGGGCCGACCTCCCACGTCCCGCTTGTCCGTTCGATTGGGGATAAGCCCTGAGGAATCCGAGGAGGAGATGTTGGACTGGTCGCTGGAGCCGGGATCTGAACCATCGGCGCCCTTTATTGGCGCACAGAACATGTGACATGCACAGCTTCATGCAAAGCTGCGGGTCTCAGGCAGTGGCGAGCGTATCGCCTGAAGCTGCGCATGGCAGAGGCCACGGCGACCACCGATCTGTTGCCCCGATTCCTGCCAATCTGAAGATGCACCGACGATTCTGAACGCATACAGACGGGGGCGGGGGAGTGCAAGCTTTTCGCAAGCATCCCGAAGTCAGAACAGCTTAATCAGCAGCAGCGGGTCTACGACTCTATGAACGCACCAGCAAGCACTGATGCCCGTAAGGCCAGGCCGCAGGTTCTGGAAGACGATAGAATTCGATCGTGCCAAGTTCTCATGCGAAGGCCCAGGCCCAGGCGGCCCAGACTCAGACGGAGGCCAACGCTGGCGGCCAGCACGTTTTCTGAGGCGACTAAGCAAGCCAGCCCTTGCAGGAGAAGATGTCAAGCTCGCGCCTGGACTTGGTCGTCCGAGCCCCGCGAAATCGATTCACTCTTCGCACTTTCTGCCATGCTGGGCCATGCTGCTATGTAGCACTTATCTCGTGCTTCGGGGTTGCAGGAAGGGCCAATTGGTCCCGTATTGGTTCATCGTGTGCCCTGTGCTCCGCCAAGGCTGTAGCACAGCATAGAACGCACGGGACCGATGCGCTGGAAGTTATTGCTCGCACTTCGCCTGCAGACCCATACTTTGCGCCGATGATGCGGATGCGACCCTCCTGAAGGCCGATGTGAGCCGCGTGCACTCAGTGCAGTGCAGCGCGAGTCCTTGCCGAGGCAGTGCAGCTGCTGTCGGAGCCCCAGCTGGAAGCATGGAAGCTGTAGGGGCTGTAGGGGGCCACTGCAGGGCTGGACCAGGGGTCCAAGGGGTCCAAGGCAAGGGGTCCAAGGGGTCCAAGTGGGCCCGTGGGCGCCCGTTGGCCTGTTCATGCCTCTTCTTCTTCTCTTCGAGGTTGGCGTATCCGCAGTGCGACGCGCTGCCTGTAGCTGGATCCCAAGAGTCGAGAGCGTAGCAGCGTGGCAGATAGCGTAGCATAACGCGGAGACTCCGCTTGAACTGAAGGTGAGCCCGGTGCGGTTGACTGTGATGGCTCACCTGACACTCTCCTGCTGCGGCGATCCAAGAGACCGAGAGATCGGTGGGCCGTGGGCCATTGGGCCGTGGAGGGTCATGTCGTTTCTTGGTGACGCTCCAGGCTTGGCCTTCCTCCTTGGCCGGCTGCGTGGCGAGGAGCTGATGCCGCTGGCGAGCCTCAAAGCGCTGGCCTCGCGGCCAGAGCCAAGCTCCACTCTGTGGCGACGCGGCGACGCACGTACTTCTGAGGTGGGAGATGGCAGCGGCACGCAGCTGAGTTGCCGCGGCCAGCCCGTTGTTGGTCTTAAATTTCCCCCAGGCAGCGCACCCCCCCAGCGGAAGTTCGAGTCCTCCGCATACCAGCCGGCACCCTCGGGGGCCGAAGTGCTTGCACCGCATTGAGCCAAATCAGGCGCATTGCATGAATCCCGCTGCACAGTGTGCAGAGGCCTTCTGAAGAGTCCAAAGATGAGGACCAGGCCTTTCCATTTTGCGGCACTGTGTCAGATGGCAGCCCACGGCGATCTCTTATACAGATGACACAGCTCCTCAGGAGGGCAACGCCCCTCTGCCTTTTTTGGTTCTCAGTCCACGGCTCAGAAGTGCTCAGATGCATCCGTGCGGACTGCAAAGCTCTCCCAGGCCAGACGCAGCCTTTGAGCGAGCTCCTGTGCTTCTTTGCCAAAACGCATCACAGCTCCGTTCCCATTGTAGAGGACCCACGACATGAGGAAGGCAATTATGTTGCAGCCCTGCATGGTCTCACGTGACTTGATCACTCCACAGGGCCCGGCGCAGGTAAATAAGGGATGGTGTGGTATTGGGCGTCGTCATCGGCCTAGCCCCTTGTGATTGTGCACACTGGACCCTTCCCCTTGATCCAAAAGGGCGCCTCCCTTCCTTCCTCATCCCCCAAAAATAAAATGCTCACTCCTCACCTTTGGGCGGTAGCCCTTTCCCGAAGCAGCAAGAGGTTAACACGCCTGATATCAGTGTCAGATCACAGTTGGGCTTGCCATCGCGACGCACACCACTGACCTTGGCGAAGAAGGAGTTCCTCACACAAGGGAGGTGAGGGAAGGCTGCATGGCCGACACTGTTCTTTTGTGCCAAAAGCTAGGCAGCTAGGCGAACCTAGTGCATCCTCTCAGGGCTACTGGCTGTCGGGCCCGTGTCCGTTGTAGCCGAAGTGGAGCTCTGCTGGTTTTGGTGACTCACGTCAGCAATAATGCCAGCACCACTTTCGAGGTTGGTCGGTCTCAATTGGGACAGCTCGGGCCAAATTGCTGGGCAAAGCGAAACCGGGCTGCAACATACCGTGCGACGGCATGCATACACCGTCAAGCTCCAACCTTGGGTCCAATCGAGTGCAGTTACCCAATCCGCGCTGTAGCCTTCAAACGCAAAGGGAACTTATGTAATCGTAAGTGCCACTCTCCCGACTCGCTTCTTCTTGGAATTTTATGCAGCAGTGAGACACCGATGCCCATGCAATCACTCATGTATGAGGTCGTGTCGGATTGTCACAGACACGAGAGACAGAAAGCCAATGCAGGTATTCCTCATGCTCAGTCCTTTTTTTGGCTTTAGCACCAGATGTAAATGTAGACATGTATAGCAACGTGGACCCGTTCTGGTCACATTGCGATCATGTACACTAGGTCACTAGGCCGAGAAACTTGCTGCCAGCCCACAGGACGGAGCACAATTGCAAACAACGCATCCACCAGCGTCGCGCGTGCCGATCACTCACACAACACGGAAGACATGTTCAAGTACCCACAACGGTGCATTCCGTTTTTGGTGTTGCTTTGAACGCCTCGGAAACCACAAACTGAACAAACGAGTTTCCGTTAATTCCGTTTGCTCCCTTTACGCCGTGTGCAGTGAGGTATTCATACTGCTTGCTGTGGTGCCAGGACGAGAAAGGTGCTTTGGTGTGCAACTTGAGCAGAAGGCCCGGATGTAGAACTCTTTTGCGGGTCCAGGAGCCCCCCTCCCTCTTTGTCGGAAAGTGGGGATCGAAGAATGATCACTTTGCCCGCTTTGTCCCGTGCGCGCACTCGAAAGCGAGTGGCCTTCCCGACAGGGACCTCTTGTCATACCTGGACCTCGCCATGCAGTCTGCAAGGCAAGGGGACCTGTGGAGAAACAGTTCTGTCAAACTTACCTGAAAGTTGCGGAGCAGGCAGAGCAATGCACGAGACTGGGCACCGGATGCTTCCGAGGATCTTGTTGAATTTAACACATCGGCGCCAATTGAGGTGCGCTGCAAGTGTCTTGTGCCTTGGGCCCTTGCCCCTGTCGAGTCATGCTTGCTGCGCTAGCATTGGCCCGTAAGCATGCATCTCCCGCGGAGTTCGGTTGCGGGAATTCAAAAGGGTTCTGCTAATGTGTGGCTTCCAGCTTCACGAAGGTGCTGGTCAAAGCTCTGAGAAGATACAGAGTCGCTCAAGCTCAGATGCAGGCGTGTTGCTGCAGCTGCCACGTGCTGCCGCCTGACAAGACAGCTTCGGTGCTTGTGCTTGCAGGCACCGTCGGCAGCGCCTTCCACGCTACAGGTCGAATTGGTGCCCATCCCTCGCAGCTGCATCGAACGCGCACACTCGCAGGAGCAATCCCTGCTAGACACCCTCATGGCCGAAGCACCACAGGACCCTGCGAAGAAGGGCCAGGCCCCGCCTGAAGCGACTCGGTTCAGTCCTTGAGTTCTGACTGGTGGGCCATTGCATGACCTGCTGCTCACGAGCACAACCTCAGCGACTTGGGTCCTCGGTTCCTTCTTTTCGAAGCAGCGTTAGAGCATTGGCCTGTCACAGTGTGCACAGTGTGGCAAACGTTCTAATCCCAGTGAGGTTACGAAATCGTTAGTAAGTAAGAGAGTCCTAGAGTCCTGGCGCGACACTAGGAAGGTGAGCAGAGCCTCAGGAACAGCCAAGCTTTGAGTTTTGGTTTTGCCTTCCGCGGCGTCCATGGCTGCCGGGGCGGCGGCAGCTGCAGAGAGAGGCCTTCTGCGTCTGCTGCAGCGCTTGGACGAGAAAGCCAAGGAGGAGTCGCAGAAGGAGGAGAAGGAGGCCCTCGACGACAGGGAGGAGAGGGAAAAGGACGACACGAAAGAGAAGACGGAAGCGGAGAGGGCCGAGAGGCAGAAGGAGTCTGAGCTTGAGCTCAGGAGGTACCTTACTACAGAGCTCTCAGAGCTCAGTGGGGTCTGGTCCAAGTCCGAGAGCTCCCAGAGCTCTCAGCTGGTGCGCAGCCTTGGAGAACACTTGCAGAGGCTGTCCTGGGCACTTTGTGCTAAGGCAGTTCGAGCCTTTGTGCCTTTGCAAGATGACGTCCAGAAGCAGACGGCAGCTCTCACCGACGCCTTCAATGCTTGGCTGGCAGAGAATCTGGTAAATTCAGAGCTCGAACTGTCGGAGGAAGCCTGCCGAAGCATGGAGGAGCATCTGCAAGCCCTCGACGCCATTTCTTACCTTCGGTGTTGCTACAGATGGGTGATTTCCACCGAGGCCAAAGTCCGGTTCCTCGTGGCGCTTGCCCTGGTGCTGCGCCGCACTTTGGGCTCCAGAGAGACAAGAGGAGGCTGCTTGAGAGAGATCTCGGAGCGACTGCTCCTTCGCTTCTTCGAGGGAGGCGACCTGGAAGCTTCCAGGCAGCAGTGCTTCGCCTGGCTGGAGGGGAGGCTTGGGCGCTACGACCGGGAGTGGCGCCGGACGGCAGAGAAGGCGAAGGCGCTAGGCTTCCAAGGCGAGCTCCGACGGCACGTAGGCCGCGCCCTTGAGAAGGAGAAGGCTGAGCAGCACTCCGAGTTTCTGGAGCTGCAGTGCTGGCCAATGGCCGGCTGTGCCGTGGCCAAAGCTCTCGTCTGCTTCGCAGCCGAATACTCCTTGCAATCCTGTCCTGAGCATAGTCTCCAACCGGCAGCGCTGCTCCACGTGCTCAACGAGCTACTCGACCCATTTGACGTCGAGGAGTCTCGCGGGCTCCAAGGAGGCGTTCGTCTAAATGCAACCTGGGAGGCCATGAAAGCTGAGAGCGATGCCCCTCCTCCGCAGCCTCCACAGCCCTCAAAGGAGGAGCCTCCGCAGCCTACACCTCCCCTTGCCAAGGCCAGGTCTAGTGCAGCTAGCAACTCAAGCACGAAGCCGTCAACTGAAGCCGCGCCAGCCAAAGCGCCGCAGCCTCCCTCTCCCAAAAACACCACTGGCGCGGCCGCGAGCCCTGGTGCAATGCCAGATACGAAAGCACCAGAGCAGGCGCAGGAGACGCAGGACACACAGAAGCTGAGCCGCAGCCGGAGCAAGCGGAGCAGCAGCGCGAGCCTGCAACCCAAGCTCCTGAAGGCTAGGAAAACAGGACCGAAAGAGCCGAAGGAGCCAAAAAAGGCATCAAAGGACAAAGGCGACGCCGGCGAGGCACAGGATGCTCCAGCTCCTGGTGGGTCTTCGAAGGAGAAAAGAAGCAACTCCTCGAGCTCCGAGCCAAAAGCGAAGAAAGCTCCGCCTCCTCACCCGAATCACCCGAGCCATGTGAATGCCGGCCAGTATTTTTATCCCATGCACTGGGGACCTCACATGGCAATGCCTGGAATGATGCCAGGACACAGGCCTGGCCTTCCCTTGACCATGCTGCCGCAGCCTTACCTAATGCCCGGCATGCCCATGCCGATGGGGGTGGATAAGAAGAAAAAGGATAAGCACGACAAGCATGACAGGCGGAAGGAGAAGCACCGCAAGGAGAAGGAGCGAGAAAAGGAGCGGGAAGAAAGCGAATCGGAGTCCGCACACGAGAAGAAGCGTCGGAAAAAGAAAGAAAAGGCAGCCAAGAAGGATAAGAAGGATAAGAACAGATGATGAGGCCAAAGCACGCCTTTCCCAGTGTCTTTGTCGACTTGTGCTGCGATGCACAAATCATGGCGAGTTATCTCAGATATGTTCAGTCTCACCACTCCTTCGGCGCAGCAGGAGTGACGGAAAGCAGGTACGCCTCGCTCGGCCATGCTGAGCCGTGTCAGGCGTGAAGGCATAGCTCTTTCCCTCCAGAATCGCAGAATGAATCTGGACTAGTAGAGGGCCGCTGGACCGCAGCATCAAAAAGCAAGCGTTTTCCAGACTGTATCTGGCGTGGAGACGAAAGCGCTTGTATCCGCAAATGTCGCGGGTGTTCGAGGCAAGTGACTTCCTGGGAGCCAGCATCGCATACGAGAAGGACCTGCCGTGGCCTGTCTCTTCTGGTGCGAAGATGGGGTCGCGTCCTTTTCGAGCATGCGAGCTCGGGAGGAGCTCTCGTTAAGGGAGATCATCCTCCGTTTATTGGAGGCTGAGAACCGGAAGGTCCTCCTGCTCCAGGTCGGGTTCCAGGACATAGCCGCAGTGCAGAATCGCCTTCATGGAAGGACCCAGGGGAGAAGATGCTGAGGCCCGCATGCTCTTCCTTCTTCCCCTCACAGCAATGTGCCCACTCCGAGGCGGATCATCTCTGCCGAGGATGTCTGGAGGCTTCTGATTGGTCCGGAGAAGGTCTGGGGCCTGGCTGCCCAAGACAGGTACCATTGTCACGACTTGCCACTCGAAACCCTGGAGGCGGCGTCTTCACTACAGGAGGTGACGCTGTAGAAGTGGTGACTGCTTCCGTTTCCAGCAAGTCCAAACCACTTGCCATGCGCACTGATGTGGCTTCAGTCGGGGATGCTTGCCAGAAGCCTTCAACACCTTCAAAGGCGTTTGACCAATACAGTCTGCCAAATCGTTCTAGCTGAGCACACCCATATTGCGCACAGGGCAGGAAGATTCACCAGCTTTATAATCACATGTAAAGACGTGACATGCGTTGGCATGGCAATAGCTTTCCCGGTTCCTGCTCGCAGCTAGCAAGACTGGACCCTGCTGCCTAGAGGCAGGACTGGTTCCAGAATTCGTCCAGCTCCCTTGTGCCATGAACCTCGCTTCTAGGACACCTGTTATATGGGTTGCATCAAAGCTCGCTTCCGGAGCTGGTGATCTGAACCTTCGCAACGGTTCACCCATTCCTGCGCGTGCGCGCCCAAAACTTCCGATCCTGCGTCCAGAGCTGTCCAGCGAAGCAGAAGGGGTCCTTCCGCAGTCCTTATCATCCGTTCGTCCCTTGGCCCTCCTTGCAGTATCAGCTCAAGTCGGAGGAGGAGTGCCCCAGGCGGAGCTGTGAGCCAAGGTTCGAGCCTCGGGGCAAAAGGATCCTGACTTCGTCGCTACTGTAGTCAAGTCGCGGCCTGTCGCTTCTGGCCTCGCCACTTCACTCGTCGCAGCTTCGCGATGCTTCGCGGTTCTCTGGCTAGGCTCGGTGAAAGCTGCCATGCCGAGCAAGGAGAAGCTTGCGAAGAAGGAGAAGTGCGCGCCCTCAGACTGCCAGCGTTTTCAGGAGTTCGGTGCAGCTAGTGTGCAGCTGTTGAACAGTTTTCAGCTGAGTTTTTAGCTTCATACTGGGTGGCATGTCCCGGTGACACACAGACCCAGAGGAATCCAGTCTATGGGAAAACGGCAGGAGAACGTACAGAGCATCCGACAGCCAACAGAAAAGCCAGAAACACTGCGCCTGTGAGCGAGCAGAGCAACTGCAACGAAATGGGCAGATGGGGACTGTCCCGTTCCACAGCGTTGCTCCAGCCCACTTGCCGATCTCTCGCACGGCGTACTGCTCTTCCTCGCGCAGGTATTTCAACAAACTCATCGACCTCTGCGTCAACACTCCAAATGCCTTGTTGGTGGGTGTCGACCACGTGGCCTCAAAGCAGATGCAGGACATCCGAATGGAGCTCAGAGGAAAGGCAGTGGCTCCTGGGTTCTTGAAGAGTACGACTTCATTTACGTTGCCCTTGTAAGGATATTCTAGGGGCTGCGCCCAGGTGCGGGCAGCGCGAGTTGTTGTCAGCGGATGTAGGGGGGGAACGGGAAAGACACGGTCAAAATTTCCAGACGGTGCCGAGACAACGACAGCTCGACACCGGAACAAAAGTGTGACGTAGGCCCGAAGTGCACAACTTATGGGTGATCTTACGCTCTTAGCCCTCGTCGGCCCTCCATGTAGCCCGCATCCGCCCTCCGCCGGACCCCGCTGATGCTGATGATGCGCGCCCTTTTGTGGCTTCCGCAACCCACGCAAAAACTTGGAAATCATCACTTCGCGCCCACTTCGCGCCGCGGGGCCGGTTGCGGGCGCCCGAGTGCTCATGATGCTCGCCGGCTCGCCTCCTGGGGTCGTCCACGGCGGCCCCGAAACCCGCCATGCCGTGGGGAATGGCTGCGAAGCGCGTGCGCGTTCCGAGACGCCTCCGGCCCAGGGGCTGCGCGGCCCTATGGAGAAACGGAGGTCCGATGATGCGGGGTCGGCGGCGGGTCGGCGGCACAACCCAACGTGGCTTTTGCTTCGCAAGACAAGCCCATTCGTCTGAGCCATAGCTCAGTCCATACAGGGCAGCGAAGCGCTGCCCGATTTATGGGCTGCCGCCACTGCCGCCGACCCCAAAAGAAGAGAGGTGACTATCCAAGGAAGGCAGCAGGCGGTGAGAGCGGTGGAGACGGTGGGAACGGTGAAAGCGGTGGAGGCACAGTGCAGGCGTGGCAGTAATGGAGATGGTGGGGGTGGTGGCGGTGGATGAAGGTGGTGGGGGTGGTGAGGGCGGTGAGGGCGGTGTGGGCGGTGGCGGCGGTGTGGGCGGTGGGGGCGGTGGGGGCGGTGTGGGCGGTGGGAGCGCGGGGGGGTCCGGGCACACATTGGCAGCCTTTAAATACTCTTTATTTTTTAAACACCTACAAATACAGCGGGCGGTGAGAGCGGTGGAGACGGTGGGAACGGTGAAAGCGGTGGAGGCACAGTGCAGGCGTGGCAGTAATGGAGATGGTGGGGGTGGTGGCGGTGGATGAAGGCGGTGTGGTCGGTGAGGGCGGTGTGGGCGGTGGGGGCGGTGTGGGCGGTGGGGGCGCGGGGGGGTCCGGACACACATTGGCAGCCTTTAAATACTCTTTACTTTTTAAACACCTACAAATACAGCGGGCGGTGAGAGCGGTGGAGACGGTGGGAACGGTGAAAGCGGTGGAGGCACAGTGCAGGCGTGGCAGTAATGGAGATGGTGGGGGTGGTGGCGGTAGATGAACGTGGTGAGGGCGGTGAGGGCGGTGTGGGCGGTGGGGGCGGCGGGGGCGGTGTGGGCGGTGGGACTCTTGAAACACGTGCAAATACAGCGGGCGGTGGAGACGGTGGGAACGGTGAAAGCGGTGGAGGCACAGTGCAGGCGTGGCAGTAATGGAGATGGTGGGGGTGGTGGCGGTGGATGAAGGTGGTGAGGGCGGTGTGGGCGGTGTGGGCGGTGGGGGCGGTGGGGGCGTGTGGGCGGTGGGGGCGCGGGGGGGTCCGGGCACACATTGGCAGCCTTTAAATACTCTTTACTTTTTAAACACCTACAAATACAGCGGGCGGTGAGAGCGGTGGAGACGGTGGGAACGGTGAAAGCGGTGGAGGCACAGTGCAGGCGTGGCAGTAATGGAGATGGTGGGGGTGGTGGCGGTCTTAAGGTGGTGAGGGCGGTGGTGGGGGCGGTCTTTAAATACTCTTTACTCTTTAAACACCTACAAATACAGCGGGCGGTGAGAGCGGTGGAGACGGTGGGAACGGTGAAAGCGGTGGAGGCACAGTGCAGGCGTGAGATGGTGGGGGTGGTGGCGGTGGATGAAGGTGGTGAGGGCGGTGTGGGCGGTGGGGGCGGTGTGGGCGGTGGGGGCGCGGGGGGGTCCGGGCACACATTGGCAGCCTTTAAATACTCTTTACTCTTTAAAACACCTACCAATACAGCGGGCGTTGAGAGCGGTGGAGACGGTGGGAACGGTGAAAGCGGTGGAGGCACAGTGCAGGCGTGGCACTAATGGAGATGGTGGGGGTGGTGGCGGTGGATGAAGGTGGTGAGGGCGGTGAGGGCGGTGTGGGCGGTGGGGGCGGTGTGGGCGGTGGGGGCGCGGGGGGGTCCGGGCACACATTGGCAGCCTTTAAATACTCTTTACTTTTTAAACACCTACAAATACAGCGGGCGGTGAGAGCGGTGGAGACGGTGGGAACGGTGAAAGCGGTGGAGGCACAGTGCAGGCGTGGCAGTAATGGAGATGGTGGGGGTGGTGGCGGTGGATGAAGGTGGTGGGGGTGGTGAGGGCAGTGGGGGCGCGGAGAGGTCCGGGCACACATTGGCAGCTTTTAAATACTTTTCAAACACCTACAAATACAGCGGTGAAAGACTCTTTGAACAGAGCGGTGGAAGCGGTGTGGGTGCGGACACCTCTCGGGATATCACAGGCGCCGCCCGCAGGGGTCGGCGGATATGTGTATGTGTATACAAATATATATATATATATATATGTATATATATATATATATGTATATATGTAGAGTGTCACCCCCCCCCCCACGCCTCTTCCACACAATTCCACAAGTTGCTTCTCTACATTGGTCGACTACTCATATATGCCGAAAACACTGTAAATACCGATACAGTCGTGCTTTACCCCATGTGCATGCAGACTGTGCTGCTACAAGTCGCGGGTTTGATATGTGTATGACGCCGAATCTCGGCCGCGGATTTATGGTAGTTTATGTGTTGGAGAAGCTGAAACGCTGGAAGGCATGCCATTTTTGTTCATGTAATACGTAAAAACGTAGTGTTTTTGCGATTTTTGTTTGCATTTTATGGTGTGTTATATAACAACATTCCTCTAATAATGAAAAGACTGTTGTCTCTCTTACGAAGATGTCTGTGTGCGTGGGCCATCTTTTTCCCGCTGCTCGTGTAACGTCCGATTCTGATGCGGCCTAATAGCTCTAGCATTTGACTTATGAGTTACGAAACACAAAGAGCTCCTTTCATGTCCTGTCCACGATACATGAAGGAAGTCGAATATACAGGCGCGTTTATTTTTGAAGCAATACTCCAATAGCTGTTTTTAGCCTCATACGACATGGGAAAGCTCCCCTGGAGTTCATGTGCGTATGTGGGCGCACAAGAAGGCTGGTCTGCAGCAAGAAGTAAGGGAGCTTTTACAAACATGAAGCAGGACTAGTTACGACTGGCTGCATTGATACGTATCAATCAGAAGGCAGGGGCTCCTTAACCTTGTAAAACAAAGTAAGATGGCACTTCATGGAAGAAATCTCCTCTTTATATTGTGAGTCGATCTATGACAAATAATTAGTAACGGCAGCCATGTGCATAGCAATCGCTATCTGTTTTTCAGGATACTACTTTGGGCCATCCTCATACCTATCAAGCAAGAGACATAAAGACTCCTGCTAATCCAGAAGAAAAATACATGATGCCACCTTTAGTTTTTGAAGACTGAAGAGAGCTCCTTTTCATGTTGTGATACGAACTGTGATAGCGTCTAAACCACAGTCATAGACAGAGGGACCGGTATCGCTTTGTCAGGATGCGAGGGAGGTGGCTTGAATAGGAACCGATAGAAGTCTCACGCGTCTCGCCCGTTCAATGAAAAAGTACCAGTAAAAAAGCTTTTTTATGTCTGCTGATCACATCTAGCGAATGTCGCTTGAAGATTGAAGATTGCTACTTTTTTGCGTTGCGTTCTATGACAGCAGTTAG